GTGGGAGGGAGGGGGGGAAGGGGTGGAGTAATTCTATTATGATGATTCAATTTTACTTCAGGAAAATAATGTAATTACTATAAAAATAATAAGCTAAGGTATGACATTAATTAAAGTTCATTTAAAGCTTTTTAGGTTTCTATATTTTAAGTTAAAGATGCATCAAATTATTTCTTTAATTTGGGTTTATATGTGATCAATTTCCAAATACATATACACAAGAAATAAATTGTATAAATGAGTATTTTTCAGTATAAAATTGAATAAGGGACCCTTGTTTCAATTGGTTATAATTCTGGAACTATTATATAAATTAAAAAGATAATTTAAATTAAAAAGATAATTCAGAATTGTTGGACACATGGGAAAATGATCTATTTTAATGATGAATTTATGTTACAAAATGCTTTTTCAGAGGAAAGGCAAAATTGAGCACGACAATGTATCTTTTAATTTGTGTGTAATTTTTCAGGCAAAATTATTTTTTCTTGGAGTTTTCCCATTTAAATCCCCTGAGACGAATTGAGTTTCTGAAATTTTATTCAGCTTGGAAATGTTCTTACTGTGGATAAACATTAGGATACATATCTTTATACGTCTGAATAACACAGACACATGTGCATGCACATAAGTCAGCATAACTATAAAGAACTGGTTGCCTGAATGAACCATTTCTCCTAGAAGGGCCAGAACCTCCAAGTGCATAAGAAAGGCACACACACACGCATCTATACAGAGGGCCACCTTATCCACGGTTTCGCTTTCCAAGGTTTGAACATAAAGGAGATCCAGGCTCACAGTAAGGAGCTTTGAGGAGTTTGCAGTAGCTGGAACCTGAGCGGGCATGTATAAAAGTGGCAGAAAATGAAATTAACAGGGTTGTCAAAGGACGAATTGTAAACTTGATTAAACGAGAACCTAAGTGTAATAGGATGAAATGGAACTTTTCTCTTACAGGAGAGTAAAGACTCTAATCAGAGCTGGCAGCACCACACCTCAATAGGAAAAAAAAGACAGACAGAGCCATTTATTTACAGTAAGTGTGGTTTCTCATAACGCAAGCATGGCCCGCGTGGGCCAAGAAAAAGCAAAATTCTTCTTCATCACAACAATGGTAAAATCTGTTCTTCCAAAGAGAACAAGATCGGAGCCAGGCTCATAAGAAAAAACTTATTTTTCTTAACTTAATTTTTTCCCATATGATCTTTCACCTTGATGTGATTTGTTTGCCTCCCAGGTAACCTGATAAAGACTAACGCCCTCTTAGTGGCAGACAGGACTGGAACGAATGCCATTCCCATCTCCTGTGGACCGAATGTGTGTGTCTCCCCAAATTCATGGGTGGGTATCTCCACCCTCAGTGTGATGTTATTAGAAGGTGGGTTATGGGAGGTGATTAGCTCGTGAGGGCAGAGCCTCATGAATGAGCCTCCAGAGTGCTCCATTGCCCGCTTCGGATATGTGACGACACAGCAAAGAGATGGGCACCTATGAGCCAGGAAGACCTTCACCAGACACAGAATCCGCTGGTGCTGCATCTGGGACTCCCCAGCCTCCAGAACTGTGAGGAAAAAACTTCTGTTGTATACAAGTCACCCAGTAGGTATTTTTGCTATAACAGCCTAAAAGAACTAAGACGCCATCCTACAACCTTCAAGGCTTAATCAGAGGAAAAATCTATTAGCATGTGGCTGAACTTTAAGTGCCACCCAAGTTTTCAGGACTCGTGAGAGCAGGGAAGTACCTTGAGGAGGAGCTATGAGCCCCAGCACGATGGATTTAAATGGACAGCCTCAGGGGGAAGAATCGGTGGATGAGACTATGGGCCTCAGTCCAAAAAGGTCTCACCGTCACAGCACAGAGAAGGCGAAGTCTATAACGGCCTGTCTCTGTTCCTCAGCCCATTACTAACATGCTGAGAGCCTCGTGGCCACCTGGTCGAGGGTCTGCACTGCCTGTATTGTAGTCCAGGGAGCTCAGTCTGAAGGCAACGAACAAGGCAAGATGGCCCGGGAAGTGACAGACTTAGAGGCACAACTTCAGAGGTGGGTGTCAGCTTCCCCAAGCCACCTCCACCCTTCCCTGGGTGGATTGTAGAGTGAAGTCTATTTAGCAACATCAGTCGAGGGACCCATAAGCTAACAGCGGCAGAATAGATCAGCCAAGCATAAAAAAATAAAAATTAAAAATAAATTTAAAAAAAACCACCACAGCAAGATCAGGAAAAGAAATACATGCATGTCCATATTACAAAAACAGTAACCTCATCATGAAGGTGCTGGAGAACCACTGAAGACTGTATGTAGAACATACAGATATGTGTGCATAAAAAGTACATAAGCACATTATGTGTCCCGCAAGATGAAATATGCATCTTGTGTAGAAAGCTTATTCCCATTGCCAAGGCCAATTACTCAGTTATATTTCTAGGTATTGATTGATTGATTGATGCATAGATAATTGATAATGATAATATAGTAGTATAGATATATTTAAGAGCTGTGAAGAGTCTGAGATTTTAACCTACTGCCAAACTAAGGTATTATGACATAATTTCGTTAATGCTGGCAGAAGGCACGAGACTCCTGGATCAGAGACAAAGGACTTTCTCACTCACAGCATCGGAGGCAGCAGACTTCGTGCTCGCATGGGTGCCTCTTGGTGCAATGAATACCTAGGTGAATGCTACACAGACAGGGGAGGAGCCCTGAGCTCCTCCCATCTTATAAACCCCCAATCTTATAAAGAAGTCTGCAAACAAACTTGCCCCATATTTGTATTGGAAGGAGATAATATCTTTATTATCCTGGACAGCAACTTACTTATTTTCCCCCCCAAGGAGACACTGATTGCTACACAAACTTCCTATAAAAAATCATCTAGAATAAAAGTTGATACAAAATATGCAGACATGAAAAAGACACGTGGTGAATTATATACGTGTGTATGCGTGTGTGTATGTGAATTTTCTTCTAATTACTTCATACTTTTTAATGTTCAGTGCTCTAATCCACATGGATTTTAATTTTATGTAAGGTCTCAGAAGATGTTTTATGTTACATGTAGCAAAAACATCCTAAATGAAACAGAGAAGTAGACTATTCAAGCTATATAATTATGTATCTGCATGCACACAGTCATGGAAAGGAGACCAGGAATAATGGGCTTTAAACAGTTGGCAGTGGATGCCCACTGAGAGGGTTAAGAAGGGAGTGCATGCAAAGGGCTTTCGTATTTTGTTTCAACTGTCTATATTGTTTGCCTCCTACACAAATAAAATAAATTCATAGATCACTTAGATATGTATTAGTCGGTTTTCTCTAGGTGATGCTGAGGTTACAAAGAATCACAAATTGTCAGTACATAACAATAAACTTTTATTTCTAATTCAGTTAGGCTGGGTTTACTATGG